TATGCATGTATGCATGTACGTATGCAAACGTACTTCTATTGCAAGATGTGTTGGGGGGCTTGTGGCTTTGGGGCTAGGTAGTATTGGGGAAATGCTAAGGCCTATACTAAAATCCCAGCAAGACCTTACACGATCCTTTAGAGATCTCATAAAGCCTATATGAATCGCTATACGACCCTCAGTCTAAAACCTTTTCGTTCCTATGGAATCTTATAAGGCGCTGTGACTTCCGAAATCTCATAACGCCAGTAAGACTCTTGTAAACTCACATAATTTAAAACGCCCTGCAAACCCTGCAAAGATGTGTGCAAACACCTATACATACCGCGCATAAAACCCTGGAAGCCTGCAAGAGCCGGGCTGCTCCTCGATCAAGCTCATCATCCCACGGCGAACTTGCAGTGGTGACAGTCCCAGCTTCTCCTGAGAGATGACAGGCGTCTTTGATATGGATAAGGGTTCCTTTGGGGGTGTCTTTAGCGGTTCGTTTGAGGGTTCTTTTGACGCATCCTTTAAGGTATCTATAAGAGTCAGGGTTGTCGGGTGTGACAGGTTTTACTTCAGGGCTTGGGGAGTGAGGTTTAGGAGTTAAGGGGCTTGAGGATTCCGGTCTTGGGAGATCAGGGTTACGGGTTCAAAGGGTGCGTGGCTTAAGGCTCCCAGGGCATAAGGCTCCCAAGGCTTAGGGGCATCTGGGGTTCAGGGTTTTGCTATCATACCTATGATACTCGCAAAGTACCATGCAGCTACTGAAATTGAAGGAACCGGTAGCGTTGATAATTGTCAGGATAATACCCGCGGCAACGACTACTCGGGAAACGCGGACGACGACGCCGACGATAATGAGCATGACGGTGATGATGCCAACAGAGGCGGAAAAGATGGAGGCAGAATAGCAACATGATGATGGTGGTGGTGATGCAAATGATGAAAGTGATGATGATGGTGATGATGATGATGATGATGATGACGTTGATGATGGAGAGAGAAGAATTAGCTGATGATGCTGATGATGACGATGACAATGATGATGGTGATGATGCTCAAGATGCTGATGATGCTGCTGATGCTGCTGACGGTGCTAATGATGATGGTGCTGCTGATGCTGATGGTGATGATGACGTTCCTGATGACGATGATGATGATGACGATGATGATGACGATGATGATGATGATGACGATGATGATGATGAGGCTGATGATGGTGGTGATGATAATGGTGATGATGATGGTGATGATGATGAGGCTGATGATGCCAATGATGCTGACGATGTTGATGACGCTGCTGATGATGCGGCTGGTGATGCTGCTGATGATGATGATGGTGATGATGATGATGATGATGATGATGATGCTGATGATGATGGTGGTGATGATGATGATGATGGTGATGATGCTGCTGATGATGATGATGGTGATGATGATGAGAACAGTGGCACAAGCTGCGCGAGCACCAAATGCTTGAACTCGGCTTAATGCAAGGTCAGTGAGACACCATTCTGCAGTTTAATGCCTTTGATACGCGCGCCTACCTCTACAGCGCATCCACGGAGTCCACCAGCCGCCCTTTCCGGACAGAGTGCAGTCTGTGCTCGACGGCTCCTGTGGCTCCCGATACCATCCTCTGGAAGGCTACATGCTCGCATCATTTCGTGCCCCTGCGATTCTCCGAGACATGAGCCTCTATGGCTACACTGGTTTCCTGCGAAGTGTGTAGCCATAGAGGCTCATGGCACGATTCAGGGGCACGAATACTTCTTCGGGCATTCTCTGTGATGCCAGCCTTAGTGAGACATCTTTTCCTGGCATCCCATCGTGTCTCCCATGCAGGGTGATACTCTGGCATGCATCAGCATCCTCGCGAGACTGTTGATGTTTGCTTTCCGCCACGCTTGAATGCTTCAATCTCCTCATCACTGCCAGCTTCCATTTCAACAGTCTTGCCACTAAGCAGTCCAACTTCCACCGTAGACTCGCTGGAAACCTGGATATTCCACTGTCATGTCAGTCTTCTTGCTGCCAGCATGCTTGCAGAAACTTCTCCAAAGCCACCCTACCAGAATTTCCCCTAAACCCGAAACCCTAAACCCTAAAGCCTAAAGCCTAAACCCTAAACACCATGGTGACAGTGGGTCAAGGAGATACCTGCTCACCTTCACTAGTACGATGATGACGGTGCGAATCCTTGCCTATGCTGTTTCCAGTCCGCAGAAGAACGTGATCTGAACGGGTTTAGGGTTTAGGGTTTGGGGTTTAAAGTTCTTGCCAGGCATTATAGCCACCTCATCAATAGCGATGCCATCCTGATTATCGCTACTATCATGTGAGAACCTAGGGCGATTCCTGTTGGTGGGCACTGGTCGTGGTGAGACTGCCCAAACCAAAACCACCCTCGCCGTGATGGCCAAAGGCAGTAGGAAAAACCTTTAAGCTGAAGCCTCTACCTCAATAGTTACCTATACTATTTAGGGGGGGGGTCCTTATTATAATTATAGTATAATATACTTGAATCTTAGACCGTCTCATGTGTTGCCCTGACCTCTAATCCCGTGAACCCTCCATGGATCAGAGCGGCTCGGAAGCGGTTGATCTGACCACCCTCCTGCATCCAGAGGGCCCAGAAAAGGAAGTTGTACCTGAAGCCCAAGCAGCTCGGTTCAGGGACCTTCACTGCTGCTATGTTGGCTCTTCGCTGACTTGTTCTAGTCGAACTGACTTGTTTGCAATCTTTTGGTACGCTGTTTTATGGTAGGTTCATATATAGAGCAAGCAGGCTTTTTCACTTTCGGATTAAATCTTTTAGTGGTTGTACTTCGTGGTGCTGCTGCTGTGCCTACTGCGGCTGTGCTGCTGTCAGCATAACTATTGCAATTATGAGTCTGTTTGCTGCTCTCATCAGTACTACCACAGCGGCTGGCAAACATACAGCTATTGGACGTGATAGTTACCAACAGCCACTGTCATTCTGAGAACAATGTGTTCAAGCAGACGAGCATTAGACAGCTTTAGTATCAGTACCAGTGGTTGTAGTTTTGTCTTTTGGCAACAACATAAGTGGCAGTAGTAGCCTGCAGAAGCAGTATGTACAGTACAGGTAGCAGCTTCATCAGCTGTAGTTCTGGTCGTCCTGCCTAGTTGGGGCACCGCTAGCTGCAGTCCGTCTACAGGCTCAGTTTTGGTAGTTCTTCAGGTTTGTCTGCCGGAGTTCAATTCGGGCTCATGGACTGCTTGGGGTTTAGGGTTTAGGGTTTAGGGTTTAGGGTTTAGGGTTTAGGGTTCCCGGGTTTCCTGGCTCCAGTTTGGAGGTTACGACAGTTGTGACTGGAGGAAGCGTTTTCGTTGGTGGTAACTGCCTGTGGGCTGTTCGGAAGTCGCTGATGAGGCTGGAAAAACCCGGGCGGCCGCTTCCAGATGCCGAAGCCAAGCCACACAATACAGGGTTCTTAATAAATAGAATAGGGCTTTAGGGCTATAGTATACCACAACAGTAGTACGGAACCTTGAGGAACAATATTGGCAAGGATTCCTCGAAGTATCTGAAACCCAGAGCACGTGAAGAGGTTGAGCCAACCAAACCAGTTCGACTCCATGACGAAGGAGTTTGGAAACTCAGCAGTGGGGTAGAGAGGACCGTACCTGGGCGGTTATAAGTGGGATTATAAGTCCCCTGATATGGATTATAACTATAGTTACCCTACTTATAACCCCACTTATAACTGTGAACCTCCAAGTACAGGCCACGCTCAATACAGGGGCCTTGTATAATGGAAGAGTGTTTGGGGGGTAGACCTTATAGTCTAAGTATGTGGGAACTGCAAAGGGATACATTAATAATTATTCCGGACTCTGTTCTCTGAGTTAATGAAATCTTCAGCTCTAAGCCACAGGTATAAACCAGGTGCCCCCAAACCCAGAAGCATCTTCGAATTAAACCAGTAGTCCGCCAACGTTCCCACCAGTGCTACTAAAATCGCCTTAGTAATTAGGGTGAGTTTGTGCGGTATACTTCAGTATAACCATTATAGGGAATGTGCAGGAATGGCATTACTGGCCACTATGAACTATGAACCTATGCTACACTGATGCCTCCAAAAGCCTCCCTGAATCAACGAGTGACCGGTTTAGCATCAGGACCAAACCTCGGACCTCAACGGACATGATACCTACGATAGGTAACTGCGTAAACAGCGTCAGCAACGCTTCACTACGCATGGTCATGAGCGTCAAAGGTCGTTAAGGTTACCACCACATAACCCGAAGACTGGCACGACTAAGTTGGAATTGAGGTTTAGGGCTATGCTCTGGGTTCGGTCTGCGTGCTCGCAGCGCAAGACAGAAAGCCTAGATCGCCGTGTGAGGGTTGCAGAGATGAGGCGAGCTGTGACGGTTGGAATGTGCAGACGCTGTCTCTGACATGAAGGGGCACTCCTTGAATTAATGATGAAAGCCTCATTTTCCGCAGCACCACCGACAGACTCATCTCTCCTCTCCATATAACAGTCATCATCTTCTTCCCCTCTTTGCTCAAGTTCAGCTTCAAGCTCTGCGATGCTTCCACCTTCTTCCGTAGCATTCTAGTTCTTTCGTGGCGTACGTAGAGGAACCACGAAACAAACAGACTGATACCTTCACAGTACCGGCAGCAAAGAGTATGCAGTTCTCAATAGCCTTTTACAGCGTTGAATCGTGTCAGAATCTCCGGCGAGTGGCAGGACAGGTATCCAGGGTATGCCCAGCTTTTCCGCGACGCCTCTGGCGATGCAGGTTGGGAGGATCCAAGGACTTTCCACCTGCTTGCCAAAGTTGCTGTAGATCAACGAGTGCAGTCTTTGCTATTCATGCTCTTCAGATTTCTACTGCCCCTGCCGAAATTACACGGTTCTGTCTCTACCTTTTTGCAATGCTTACGCAACTTGTACGTATGTATGTATGGCCACTTCAAACAGGGATCTACAGCAGAAGCACGGGCTCGATGAACTTTCGGCTCAGAATCGCGTAGTCCGGCAGCCCCCAAACGACTCATGCCTAGTTGGAAGAAATCCAGATACATCCATCAACGTCTTTGGCGCAGGCACATTTAGTGATTCTTGCGCATGTGTTGTACTTCCGACCGAAGCAGTGGGCTCCAAAAACTTCAAACACTACACAGGGAAACCTTTGCGGGCTTTCGGTGCTGCAGCGGCGCAGTAGGCCTCACTGTAAACCAACGGCCCTGAGATGATCATCTGAATGTCCTGAAGGAGAAGCAGACATCAAAGATTTTCATGTGGCGTAGTAGGGATACTGTGGATACTACTGCGGCTGTGGCTGCCCCTTCATCTGCTGCTGCCCCCTGTGTTCATGCTCGACAGCTATGTACCTGCTATTATTGTAGTATGAGTTGTCGGAAAAGCATGACGACATCTCGCTAGTTACGGCGCATTCAATGCAGCCAAGGCAAAGACTTGAACAACTCACGTTGTCAGAAGTAAGTTTCCCCAGTCCCATGCGGACGCTTGTGCAATATCGTTGCTCGTACGACCGTCGTTTTGTGCTGAGTGCTGTGCGCAATGGTCGTAGCTGCGGATGTCTATAGCTGATAGGTCCGCTTGGGGAGGTTAGGATCTGAGGCTCTGGGGCTTGGATGCTTTTCGGCTTTGAACCATGTCCTTCGTCTTGTCCACGAGATCCGTCAGGAACTGTTCGTACCAGGTGGCCTCACTGACTCAAGGAGGAGTGTGGTGTTTGCGATGAACGGGCCCGACATTCTTCATTGCTCTTGTTGCGCATTATTTCCACGGCTCACGCTGCTGCTGTATTTCTGTAACACGGCACCTTCCTTTTCTGCGTCTCCTGCATCATGGCCATCAGCTTGCCTTTGGCAAGCATCTCGGCATACTCCTGTACGACGAGCGGCGATTCAGAGCTTCAGTTGTATGGGTGATGGGGCATTCAGCGTAGTTGAGGCTAACGTCCGCTTCGTCCGAGCGTGCCAGATAGATAGACAGATAGACAGATA